ATGCCACGGCTCATTTATTACTCACGCTCGTCTGACTAATAGTAATCGATGCACCACCACCATTGATTGTAACTACTTTTTCCGAACGAAACATGCAAAACTCTCTCACAGCATAGATCTTTTACCATGAGAATCGCCATATCTCGATTAGTTGCTTTTCATTTCCGATAAAACATCCCTCGAGTCGGGACTTAAAATGATGCAACTCTAAATACACTGATAACGGAAATTCAAAATCGATCCAGGAAATATGTCATAAATATTTAACCTTTACTCTTTCAACGTAAATTAATCGAACGATTGAAATGAAATTTTCTATAACACGAAGTTACTTTCTTTCCCGTATCTTTTTTTCTTTTCTATTCTATACAATTCTATTCTTTTATGGAAAAAACTATGAAATAATATATCGATTGAGAGAATTCAAGTGAACAATGTTTCTAACAAATAATCAAATTGGCAGGGTGACACAGTTACCCATAAGAATCCAGTTTTAACCATGATTCGTCACGGAAACTCATGGAAACGAGAAACGAAATCGTTATTAGTTCAGAGAATATTTGTTTTCCAGTTACGTACATGCATTACACATAATAAACACACACACACAAACATATATATATTATAAAACACGTGCAGATAAATTCGAGGTTTTCATTAATTCGATATCTTACATTTACTTGTCCGTTTTAAATAGACGTTGTGTGAGGTTGCATATTACTTACATTTCAAGACGCAACGAAAGAAAGAGACCTTCAACCTTCGACCTAAGAAAAGTAGTCGCGTGTTCTAGAAATCGGCACGATCTTTAGCGTTAACCATTCACGATCGCGAAATATTAAAACCGAAGGACAGATCTTGTCTATTAGTCTGTCCAGTAATTCGGTCGACTTACTAAAGAAAAAAGAAAATTAAAAAAAAAGCTCTCTTATTTGATTCATTTAAAAAAGAAACCAACACGAATAAACAAAAGGACTAGGATGTTAACACGATCTAACCTGATGTAATGCTTAAACACGTCGTTCGTAATAAATTTGTGTCCATAGTCAAATTTTCGATGTAAATAAAATAACGCGATAACGGAGAATATATAAATTAATACGTTGTATATAACGTGCGCTCGCGTGAACGCGTGGGTGCAATTTCCGACAAACGAGTCGTGATAAATAAATTCAATCGATCGAATAAATTGTAAACTAAATACGAGAGAGAAAGACGATTCGCTTAAAGAGAGAGAGAGAGAGAGAGAGGGAGAGAAATAAAGACAGACACCTGCACATACACACATACACAGACATACAAAAATACACGCAGATCGATCGATTCCTTTTAACGGTTCACCTAATCTACTTTTCGAAAAAAAAATGTCGAACCAAACGAATTCGGAAATACCGTTCGACCACGTCGACATCATTCTTTCTTCTTCGAACCCGAATTGGTCCGAGGCGATATTTCTCAGCTAGAAACGTGCACACTGCCGTACACCAAACCGTCCGCTTGATGGCCCATAAAAATTGACCGGTTAAAAATGGCGATGCAACTGCGTCCTAACCGCGATTAAATACGACGTCCATTAATACACGGTACTGTCATATGCCTGCTCGCATTTGGGTCGTACGTTTGAAGAAAGGTAAGGGTGGAGGAGGGTTAGGGGGATCTTGAAATCCATGGCTAAGCTATATCCTCTCATAAAATATGGAATTGTATTGTTCCCTTTGGCCTATGACGTCTGTCTGTAAATTCTTTGCGAGAGAAGATAAAAAACAACTTTCCAAATTTTATTTTCCACTAAAACGTATTTTAAGAATTAATAAAAAAAATATTAAAGAGTCTATTGCTCATATCAAGCAAATCGAGATGTTCTTTTTATCAATGCTTTTCAACACGTATTTGAACAAAATTAACCGTTGACGTTTACATTAGTCGAAATGGTAAAAAGAAAAAAAAATATTTAATAAAAAGTGGCAAAGAGATTCGATTCGAACGAGAAGCTTTTTCGGTTGGTTGTTTTTCTGTTTCTATCGTATAAATTTTTCTAAGTCGATGTATACCTACCTACTGGCATTTTTATCGTAAAAAAAAAAAAAAAAGAAAAAAAAAAGTCGATGATTTATACTGGCGTCGATCGTACTCGACGTACTTGACATCCGAGTCCGACGCATTCGACAAGAGGGCCAACAATCCAAGGCAACCGATCCCGCAATAGCACTGCAATAGGTCCGAGCTCTAGCTAGCACCAGCAATTGCAGCAGTTTTCGTTTGGTAGTTCCCCTCCCGCCCCTGCGATTTCCCCGAGGTCGAATCGGGAAGGGTTTGCACCGTTAGGGAGAAGAGAATTTCGACAGCTTTGCCGGGTCAAGTGAGATTAAACGAGAATTTGGTCGGCGGGGAAACGGTTGAAACGTTGCTCGCGGTAAAACCTCGACGATTATACGAACCGACTACTACTGCAAGTGAAACAATGCATTTTTCTCCCGTCATCAACCACTCCTCCTCCACCACCACCGCTACAACCACCACCCTTTTCCATCAGTTTCTCTTATTCGCGATACTTTTTGTTTCTTTTTCTACTCTTTTTCTATTCGTAACCTCTATAAACGTTCGGTTAGCTTTCAAAAATGCAACGACGAAGAAAAGGAAACAAAGCTTGTCACGAAGATGCTATCTTTTCGCAACGACGGTAAAATACAATAGTAAGACGAAGACGAAGAAGAAGAAGAAGAAGAAGAAGAAGAAGAAGAAGAAGAAGAAAAAAGGACAAGGAACTAAAAAAATAAAACAAGTAAGCAACAAGAAAAAGGGGCAGAAAAAAAACACGCCAGAAACAATGGTTTCTAGGGATAAGTCGAGCTTTCCTTTTCCTTCGTTAAGATTTAATCGAGCAGTTTTTTGTTTCAACATCTTATCGTTCACCCGTTGTTTCGTAACGAATTCTAAACGAACCTAACATCATCTCACTGAATTTCTTCGAACGTTAACGTTTATTTCCCTTTCTTCATTTCATTCTATTTCTCTTTGTACCTTTATCTATTCCTATTGTTTAAAACAATCGTCAGTGTTTTCTGAATGTTCAGAAAGAAAAACATTTCCCAAAAGTCTACGATTTATCTTGAGGCTCGTATATTCTATCCCTTTAACTAAAAAATGATATTTATCAACGATATTTATAGAGTATCTCGAAGTAAAGCAATTTTTCCGTCAGTCATCTTGTCCTATTTTAACAATGAACGACGTTTCTCCGATGTTCTTTACTCTTTTTCTTAATATTTCTGATTATATACGTGTGCCGGGTGAAAAACGGATGGAGGTTGCTTTCTAGAGTGTCTAGAGGGGTGGAATAGGGTAGAAACATGGCAGGGGTATATATCCACGTTGGCGTATAAATCCGTGTAGAGTCGGTGAAACGGGCAGAAACAATAACGGGGTGAGGGTCAGATTCAATTACAGGGTATCGTGAAAGTTCCACACACCTAGCACCACCACCACCACCCACCCGCCCCCGTTTCTCCAGACTCGCCACGAAATCCACTACTATGTTCTTCTATGTCTACTTCTCTTCTTCTTCTTTTTCTTCTTCTCTTTTCATTTCTTACTTTTCGACCGTCAGGCACCCCCTTAACCTAATTTCCCGCTTTTGCCGGCCAACCGAATCGGTTGTCGAACGAAGACTAATGTTCATCTAACCGCACGTTTCTTACCATGGGCTTTACTTTCATTTTTGCCGCTTGAATTTTCTGGAGTTTACCCTGTTACCCATCTTTCTTTTGTTTTGGATTTTATTTTTCAAGCTTCTTTCATTTGCTTTATTTTCTAATTTTCTTTCCTTTTAAGTTGGAAAATTAACTTTACACGTATTACGTCGCAGGAGTAAATCTAAATGAATGGTCAAACATTAAATTCCCTTAAAACTACAAAATCATTTGTATAAACTATCCTAAAAATATCCTACAATTAATGTTAAGAAAAAAGTATTAAAAAATTAACGAATACCTCAATCAACGTTCCTATCGATCGAAATGAATTTTAGAGAATATAATGCTACCTTCAGGACTAGACTTACAGTGTTTGCGTTTTGCAGGTACTTGCGTTCGCATCGATAAGTCATAAGTGTTACTCGCTTTAGTTGTTTTTACCGGCTCGTCGAAAGCAACGATTCTGCTCGTAAATAATGATACATGTTTAGGATTGAAGGAACAAAAAAAAAGATGTTAAATAGAAAAACAAGTGAAAAATGAACTAGCCCAAGTAAGTAAACAATTGTTTTAAAATGTGATACGACAACAATTAACTGTAAAAACATATTCCAATTAATTTATCCTTTATTTCCTATCTTAAAAAACATTAATGGTAGAGATTCAATAGATCACATTTTATCAAGAACATTGATTCCTCAAAGTATAATATAAACGAGATAAGATATACTAACTATGTAAACTAATGCTGGTTAACAGGATGATCATTCTATTTTCTACGTCCATTAACCTCTTAATAAACACATTTCACGCATGCGTTTAAGCAAAATCACGATGCTAAGGCACTCCCACTTCATTCGCATAACTTGACTCGTATAATCACCGAACCATCTCAAAAATCAAAATCTAATTCACTAAGATAGTAATAATACGTGTTTAATATATGAAACTTTTCAAACTTATCGTTAGACGAAATTTCCGAAAGCACGCTTTAGAGTCCTTCACCCACTCCCAATCGTAAACGAGAAACCCAACCTACGCGACGGCGTTGCAACCTGCATCCAGCATGGAAGGAGGCCATGTGGACTGTCGATCTGACCGAGAAAAGGATAGAATATAAAAAAGAGGTGACAACGGGGGAGGGGATGAAGCGCGACATTCCATCTCACATGGTTCCCTCTCTCTTTCTTTCTACATAGTCATTTTCTTTGGCCTCGAGCAAGGTTACCTAACCTTTTTTGAATAAACTAAGGATGATAATAGAGAATAAAAATAAGATGGAATCGAAGGATAGCAATTGAAGCTTACCAATGATAACGTTAAATCCGTATCTTGAATTTTCTTCTTGTTATCTTTCTCTCACTGTACTCGGGGTGTGGTTCCTTCGCGTGCGGGCGGAGCCCCACGGGATTAAGGACTTTGGACTTGGCCGGATTCGGAAAGCTCGCGTTCCACTATGTGCGTATAAGATCTTTGGATATGTAGGTATACTTGTGCGTGTTTGCTTATTATGTTCGTATAAATTTCTTTTGAAATCCTCTTCTTCTTAGCAAGCGTCAGAATGTTTTCGCAGAAACGAAATTGAAGCTGGAGAAAGAATGATAAGTAAAAAGAATTGGTAAAGGATGAAAGCGAGTTTGATATACGTGTCTGTAAGTGTACGCATGTGTATGTATACGTGTCCCATGTGTGTGTGTGTGTGTTTCTCTGTCTCTTTCTGTGTGTGTCTCCGTATCTGTGCGTGTATACGCGCGCGCGGTTGTATGTATGCGTCGTGTACGTGTGTAATGCGACAGAGCACGGGTAAAGTTTGTTATGGTAGTTGTAATCTTAGGACAGCAACATTAGCAAGGATTGAAGGTTTCGGAAGAAATGGATCAGGACGAGGGGGAGCGGTCTAGACGAGGTCCTGCCTTCGCTAGGACATTGTTACTCCTGCTGATTCGTTTCGAGAATACTCGGCCGTTGTCAGCTCGGTCCAACCGCGATGGCCACCCTCGCCTATCTTCACCGATGTCACTTCAACTTTTTTAGATTTTCAGCAATAATCTTGTATATATGTATATACGTATATCCTTTAAGATAAACACCCCGACGATTTATTATCAATCTGTTCAATGTAACGATTTATTTTCACGCGACAAATTTTTTTTTGTACACGAGCACGTTTATTTCAACGTTGACATGCTTTTACGAAGAGTATTATAGACGAGAGTAGAGAAAAAGTTTACACATAGAGAGCAGTAGTGCTGGGGGCTCTCGTTCGAAGCAAAGTGTCACGCACGACGCGAACTGAGTTCGATCCAAAGCGCGATGCGGAAATTCCGTGGGAGTATCGAAGCGACCTTCGGAAGGCACAACCTTCAAGATCGATCGAGCCCACGACACAGCAACCGTTTATACTTATTCAAAACTCTAAGTTTACTCTTATTCGTGAATCCTTTCTCTCCGAGCAAAAGTAACTAACTATCTATGACACTTTTCTTTTCCATTATTCGATCCCATTGTAATATAAGATCCCAAAGAGTAACTACACACGCGTGTATAGTTTCGTTTTTTTTTTTCAATCGATCATATGTGTCTCTTTTTTTACGTAGAAAAAACGTAGATAAATCACCACTGATTCGATAGCACACAAACAAATTGTCACAAGTTGTGTGTCACTGTGTTTAAGGAATGAAAAAAGAAACCGAAAGAGAAAGAAAGAGAGAGAGATAGAGAAAAGAAGAAGAAAAAAATGGAAAGAGAAAGATAGAATAAGTGGTAAATGAGTGAATGAGCGAGAGAGGTTAAAAAAAAAAGGGAGAAACGAAAAATCGAAGAGAGCACAGTTGGGATTCCTCGCACTCGCGTAACAGATTCAAATCGAATACACCAATCGTTGAGATATATCCTTAGAAAAAAAACAACCAAATTGTCCTTAGTCCAGAGTTAAAACTAAATAATCGTCGTGGCTCGAAGAGAAGCCGAAGAACAGAAGCGCGTAACACGCGACGAGGAAAGATGAGCTGCCGCTTGCCTGGCAGTGGTACTCGCCGCCATGACAGACTCTTGCTTCTCCTATAAACCCCACTCTTCGAAAACAACCCCTACTCTAACATTTATCTCGCCCTACTACTACCCCTAACCTATTCCCTCTCTCTTTCTTTCACGTAACCACCCTTGTGCTCTCCTTCCAATCCTCTGCTTTTCCACCACCTAGCTACCCTACCTTGGCCCCACCAACGCAATATTGATCGGGCGGAAGGGCGGCATCCAAGAACGTAACGACGCTTTGAGGGGCCCCGGACGATTTTACAAACCCTCTCTCTTTCTTTTTATCTTTCTCTCTTATTTTATCTCTTTTTCTATCCTTTTATTTTGCTTTTCTTATTTTTATTTCTCTCTTGCGTCCTCGCTATCTTTCTTCTTTAAACCCCCGTCCACATCCCTCGTCATCGGTCCACATCCTCGTCTCCTTTTCTCTCGTTTCTTCTTTGATAACTTTTTCATTTTTCTTCTTCTTCTTTAACTTCTTTTCCCTTTGTCTTCGTTCCGAAAGGATCTCATTTTTCCCAACGAAGTTTCCTCGATATCCACGCCTTCCTCCCCTCGATTGTTCGATCCTCCGAACGCGAGAAACGATTGACGATGTTCGAAGAAGACGCACGTGGTGTGTCGTCGAGCAAAATACCAAAAGAATATTGCAGCTTTGTTTTTTTTTTCCCCTTATTTTTTTAAACGATGTTTAAGAGAAAGAAATCTTTATTTCTTATTTTAATCGTTGATGATAAAAATGAAAATGATCCGATGAATGTATCAAAGGGTAGGTTAATAGTCGGTATTAGAGATAAATTGTTTTGATCGTTAAAATAGAAAGAGAAATAGAAAGGAGGAGTAAGAGAGAGAATAAGAGAGAAAGATAGAGGAGAAGAAACATAAGATAAATTGATAATAATGGGAGAAGCTACAGCGTCAGCTCAGGTAGCTTTTGACACCTGATCCTCTTTCTTGCCAGACGGCAGCCTTGCCGTTAATCAAGCGCTGTTTCACCCCGTGTATCCACGACCCACAAAAGCCGAGCTTTAGCTCGTGCTGTGATGAAATGAATCCTTTGCAACCCCTAAATAATACTGAACGCATTGACCAAACCTAACCACCCTATGGTATATATATATAACATGAGTTTTGTAAGAAATGTTACGCCTACGAGTATACAAGCATATTCGTAATACGAATTTGTCCTGAGAAAATTCTGTATTTTTTCTATCCTTCTTTTTCTTTTATATTTTTAGTTGTTTTTTTTTTTATCAACACGTAGATAGAAAAATTTATATCTATAAAAAAAATAAAACAAAAATGTTTATTATTTTGTTATTTTCCATATCGATTAATTAATAAATTGAAAATTTTCTCTCACAATAAAATTGGTTGGATAAAACGATATCACACGAGTTTTTATTTTTTTTTTTTTACATACTCAAAGGTAAAATCTATCAATGCGAATTGGTTAAAAAGAAGAAAAATAAAGCAATGAAGGGGAAAAATTATTTCTTCGTCAGAAATTTCCTCATCGATTGGAAGAAATCAACGTCAAGAATCAACATTGAGCATTATTTAACAGATTACGGATGTAACGCACGAGAAACTCGGCAGATTGCAAAAAGCATTTAACGCGATGGCAATATTGTTAAGTGCCCCTACTATTCGTATCAGAATAAAAACATCGGTGTCGAGCGTGACGTTATTTCGTTCGATTATACTTAACGTTAATTAAAATTACATTTCGTTCGGTTGAGTATCGTCATTGTTAGGTGTTGTGGCATAGTAGGATATAGAAACAATTCGAATGAGCAAGTATCGAGTTACCTTTGCGTATCGCGTGCAATTCATCCGTTCGTTAATCGAAATTCGATCGAGAAACCTTGCGATAGCATTTACCATCTACACATTTTGTTGTCAATTTTAACGAAATTTCAAAGATTTTATTAACTTACCATCTAACCTTTCTCCAACCACGAATTACACTGCTCGTTACACGCCTTTTCAGTGTCTGAAAAAAAAAGAAAATACTATGAAAAAAATTCTCTAAAAATAAAATAGGGAGAGATAATTTTAAAGAATGGCTTAGATAAGAAGTGCAAGTAAAAAAACTTTTGCAATTTACAGCTCGGAAAATCTTCGTTCGAGACGATCGTGCGCCATCGAAAAAGGGAAAAGAATGATTCTCTATTTCTCTCTCTCTCTCTCTTTCAAAGGTAGCAGAAACAGTTCGGAAAAAGGAGGAGAAAACGAGACACAAAGAGAGAGAGAGAGAGAGAGAGAGAGAACGATGTAATACGCAAGATGTGAATGAGAAAAGAAAAAAGTTAAAAGAAAAAACGAATAAGAGGGACAGGAATAGAGCAAAGTCCTTTCTCGCAAGAAATTTCTTTGTCTCTTTCTCTCTCTCTCTCACTCTCTTTCTCTCTCTCTCACTCTCTCTCTCTCTCTCTCTATCTTTCTTTCACACACACACATACAAATACTCTCTTTCTCTCGAGAATTCGACGATCCTCCTTCGCGAGATATGATCGAGAAAGGTCGAGAGTTTTCCACCTTCGTTTCTTCTTTCAGAAATGTGAAGAAAACGAATGAAAATCGAATTTTCGATATCATTTATCAGGAAGGAAGTTCGTAAGACGTGCGTTCGATGTACCTGCTACGAGATATAATATATATGATGGATGAAAAATGTTCGATTAATCCAAATATAATACTTTTATATATATACATATATATATATATATATATATATATATATATATATACGTACTTTAAATTAAGTAAGTAAGTAACTAGATAGATTTACTAACAAATATATAACAAAAATGATTAGTGAATATTAGAGGTAAGTGAGAAAAGGAATCCTTTCCCAATGAATGAACTTCGTGAGTTAGCACACGTTTAAAGCGGCTTCGTTTCAAGTTTCCGCGATGTTTCGTTGTGGAAATATTTGCCTCTAAAGATAGATAGTAATATAATCGCCTTTGGTGATAGTTACCCGATCGCTTGTTTCGCCTTTCGTTTCACGAAAGAACTATCAAGAGCGGTAGCACGCTTCGACGATTTATTCTCGAAAGCTTGTCTCGAACACCTGCTGCCACTGTTTTCCCCCTCACCGACTGTCCCCCCCTCCAGATATTCGACATTTCCAAGCTTTTTCAACTTTTTTTTTAATTTTACTTCAAGCTTGTTTTCTTCACAAATTGATAAGAGTATCAATTTATAATAGGAAAGTATAAAGGAATTAAAAATGAATTTCAATTTACTATCAATGATGTGAATCAAAAATTAATATTAATTTAAATTGAAATTAATTTCAGTTAAATTTGAATGTAATGTAAGTAGAATGTATTACAGTATTCAAATAATTCTTAATTAATCGAAGGAAATGTTTATTGTTACCTAAAAACACCGTGTATATGATCGGAGTATCGTCTTCCTCGAGATTCACCTTCAGACTGACACGTCGATCGTCTATCAAAATACTTTTATACAATGTTGTTTATGTGACTTTCCGAATGTTACGCATGTATGTAAAGGTAGTAACATTTCTAATAAAGATAATTTAACATTATAACGGTTTAATTTCAACATTTTTTGCATTCTAATGTAATTTTTTTATTGTTCATGCGCAGTGATGACTCTTTGATGGTTAAATTTTTCTATAAGTATAAAAATAAGGATCTTAAAAGTCTTAAAAGGTTCTAAAGAATTAGTGAACAAGTTTGCATTTTTTATAAAAAGTATTTCGCCAAATGTCGAGTCCAATTTCTTCTGTAACACGCCTGGAGGTCGAGGTCGAGGCCTCGAAAGAAATCATGCATCCGTTCTTTCCATCGGCATTCCGGCGTAACCACAAGCGTTAATGGCGTTTCTTACGATCTCGAATAAAAAAGAAGGTGGTGGTTCTAAAGTTGGTGGTCTGGGTAACACGGTCGATATACTTGTCACGGCTGAATCGTTAAACGAAAAGAAGAGAAGAGAAGAGAAGAATGATTCAACCGAGCATCTGGATTTAGATGAAAAAGAAAATCTTCCTTACGGTATATAGATATGGAAAATAAATGATCAAAAAAATTCTTAAGAACTGTTTCTGGTTTTTCTTTTTTTATCATTTGCAAAATATTACGAATCAAACGAACACAACAATATTGCCAATATTTTTATTTCATTATGCTGGAATTAATAATGTCTTCATTAACATTTTGAAGGGTTTTGATACGCCTGGCTAACATCTGTTTCATGAATGTAATTGAAACATGAATTTTCATTGTTACGTTGTCGAAGTTAATTGAATCGTAATAAATGATTTGTCGAAATAAACGTTTATATTACTACTAGAGTAGGACTTTACAAGTGGTGCATTCAAGTTTGTAATATAAACGAGACAGTTCGTACGCTAAAGGACTTGCCAAGAAGGACTAGCACAAGTATACCTATGAGCTATGTTATTGTACAAACTTCAGGCTCCCGTAGCAAGTATAACGTCCTTAGTCACGACGCTTTTTCCCCATATTCCTACAAACCTATATACACATACCAACATCTAACCTATATAATTTGAATACCTCAACATCCTTCTCTACAAATCACTTACATATCTATATCTTATCAAAAGAAAGTGCTAAAGGATGAAAGTGTGTGTAAGCGAGAGAGAGAGAGAGAGAGAGAGAGAGAGAGAGAGAAAGAGAGATCAATAAAATAGATTTGAATAAACTCAATCGAATATTCTCAGCTTCATTTTTAAATTCCATATCCCATCGACTTTTTTTCTCTCTGTTTCTCCCCCTATCCCACTCCTCTCTCACTTTCTCGATGTAATCATATTTTCTCCTTGTTCTTCTCACATAATCTTAATATTAAATTTTTGACATTTTTCTTACGTAAGACGTTACGCACACAAAGCAAGACAATATTGCGAACTGACGAAAAGTGTAGAAAAGTATTATACCATATTATATATATATATAACTCTGTTGTTGAGAATTTTCTGTAAGATTCCTTAACGTTCAGAAACGTTCGAT